CAACTTTTTTTTTTTTTTTTGGCTGAGTACATTGTACTTTATTGATGGTACATGACAAGATGGGGGCCCTCCCGTTTCTCGGGGGATTTGATGGAAACTTGTGTCAAGGATATGAGATTCTCAGTGTGTGGGAGGATCAAGTTGGGACAAGGACTCCCCAGTAGCTGAGGGTCTCTCTCTCGCTTCTAGTGCTGTTGCTGGGGCTGGTGGTCCAAGGGGCTCTTATTCTTTGGAGGCCATGTGAACCATCAGGTTGACCTCCGGTTGCTATAGCCAAATTCATTGTCATACCAGAAAATGAGTTTGACAAAGTGGTCATTCAGGGCAATGCCAGCCCCAGCATCAAAGGTGGAAGAGTGGGTGTCACTATTAAAGTTATAGGAGACAACCTGGTCTTCAGTGTATCCCAGGATGCCCTTGAGGGGCCCTTCTGATACCTGCTTTAATAGTTTCTTGCTGTCATCATATTTGGCAGCTTTCTCCAGACGGCAGGTCAGATAAGTCCGCAATTGACACATTGGGGCTGGGTATATGGAAAGCCATGCCGGTAAGTTTCCCATTCAGTTCAGGGATGACCTTGCCCATGGCTTTGACAGCTCCAGTAGACGCAAGGATGATGTTCTGGGCAGCTCCATGGCCATCACGCTGCAGCTTTCCAGAGGGGTCATCCACAGTCTTCTGGGTAGAAGTGATGGCATGGACTGTGGTCATGAGTCCCTCTACAATGCCGATGTTGTCATGGATGACCTTGGCCAGGGAAGCCAAGCAGTTGGTGGTGCAGGAGGCATTGCTGACAATCTTGAGAGTTGTCATACTTTCATGGTTCACGCCCATCACAAACATGGGGGCATCAGCAGAAGGTACAGAGATGATTGAAGGCACCACCTTTCAAGTGAGCCCCAGCTTTCTCCAAGGCTGTGAAGACACCAGTGGACTCCACAACATACATACTCAGCACCAGCATCATCTCACTTGATGTTGGTGGGATCTCGTTCCTGGAAGATAGTGATGGCTTTCCCATTGATGACCAGCTTCCCATTCTCAGCCTTGACAGTGCCTTGAACTTGCCATGGATGGGATCATATTGGAACATGTAGACCATGTAGTTGAGCTCAATGAAGGGATCACTGATGGCGACAACATTCACTTTTCCAGAGTCAAAAGCAGCCCTGGTGACCGGACACCCAATGTGGCCAAATCCGTTTACTCCGAACTATACCATCGTGTCCCAGGGATACGGCTGAGGCTGCACGAGAGGAGAGGGCAGTCTGGATCGACGAGGAGCAGAGAGCCCATGAGCGACTTCTTAAAGTCCTCTGTTGCCATCCCTGTGACTCTTTATGACTATGATGCACAGAACTCTAATTGTTCCACACGTTGGTGCTGTCAGTGGCAGAGTAAGAATAGTTTCATTATACAGTGGTATAAGGATGTGTAATAACCCATCTATATAGGACTTCCATGAAAGCGCTCTCACATCTGTTATCTCAGGAATGCTTACAATAGACCTAAGAGAGAAGGGATGTTACCATTACCGTTTCATAGATGAAGGAGTACAGCCCAGAGTGTTAATGAATGTCTTCCCTAAGTCACTTAGTCCAATGCAGAACAGCACCAGGTCTCTGACTCCCTAGAGTATACACACCCTTGAGATTAAGATCCTCATTGCCTTTCATGGTCTGCCTATCATTTTACCACGTAAGAGGCTGAGAAAGAAGCACTAGCTCAATGGAATCTCTAATTTCCATTTTTACTTTAGCTCTGTATCTGGAAATACAGTGTGGCCGTAGCCCAAGGGCAGCAGTATTAATGAGAGAAGTTAACCGAGAACAGTTAATGCTATAATACTCCAACCTCATCTTTCTCAACCCCAGCACTGTTGATGGTTGGAGCCAGACAGAAATGAAAAGAAAGCAATGTCCCAGGATTTTTAACAGCCTCTGTAGCATTTACCCACTATATTCCACCCCCGGTGAATAGTAACCAAAAGTGTCTCCCCAAAGCCAAACCTATCGATAATTCAGTCCCAACTCATAGCATTACGTCATAGGATTTCTAAAGTTGTAAATCTTCTGGGGAGCAGACTGCCCATCTTTTTTCCATGATGATGCTGGTGGATTCAAACCACTTACCATTCAGTTAGCATCACAAAATGTAAAACACTACACCACAAACGACACAGGATAGGACAGAGCTCAGGTCTATTTTTCATAGGGTCGCTGTGGGTCATACCCAACTCAATGGCACCTAATAACAATAACAAATACCACAAAAGCTCCCGCAAACTGTCTTCAGATATTGCCAACTAGTCCCTGTGGTGAAAACCTATCTTAATACAATGCTTTATGTTATATTGCATTTCTTTCCTCCTCCTTTCTGGCCTTCTCTCTCCTCACAAGCCAAAAAAAAAAAAAAAAAAAAAAAAAAAGAAAATATGTACTGAACTACTCACCCTGAACCGAGTATGTTAAAAGTCTATCCCTTTTATGAGTTTGAAGATAAGTGATCTTGGGAGACTTATCTCTGAGCATTAGTTTTCTTATAAGGATTAAATAAGATGATGTATATCAAGGCTGAGCTCAGCGTCTGAGCCAAAGCAAGCATCTGATAATACATGCTGTAGCGCCACCACGTCAATTCCAACTCCTAGTGCCTCTCCGTAATGGTCTCCAGGCTGGAAATATTGATGTGAGCCTACTGTCAATCTTTCTCCTATGCAACAGCTGGTATATTCGAACCAACAACCTCTCATTTAGCAACCCAACATGTTGGTACATCGCACCAGAGATCCTTAATTATACAGTGCTATCACATCTTTTTGTAACCCAGAAAGATGGATTGACACAGTGGCTGTCGTAAGGATAAACTCAAATTCGTCGGGAATGGTGAAAATGGTCCAGGGTAGGGAGAAATTCAGATCTGTCATTCACAGGGTTCCTATGAGTCAGTCTATTTGATGACACCTAATCACAGCAATACAGTTAACAAGTAACACAGTCTTAGGGCTAATGAGAGAAGATGAAGGATGACCCTACTTCAAGGAGTGTTTGTGTCAACTAAGTGACAAATATGAACTCGTCACAGTTACTGTAATGTTTACCCTCAGTCAATCCCATGACCTGTAATAACGCTTAGGGAGCCCCAGTGACTTAGTCTGTTGGGGCCACTCTGCTCACCTAAAAGCTTTACCCCGCTGGTGGATCAAATCCCCCAGAAGCTCTGCAGGAGAAGAATGGGAACTCTCTCTACTCCAACAATGTACGACCTTCAAAAACCCACATAAGTCAACGATGAGTCATTTCAGACTTGATGACAAAGAGCTGTGTTGACCCTGAGGTTTAACGCTCTAATCACTTTCCATGGACTGGAAGGTTCTACAAGATCTGGATTCTGCCTCCTTTTATTCTCAGCACCTGCCACTTTCCCTTTTCTTCACTGATATTTTTTCTGTTCCTAGAGAATCGAGATCATTCTGACTCTGGGCCCTGCTCCTACAGTTCCCTCTGCCTGGAATTATTCTCTCTAGAAACTTCATGTTTGTATGATCTTGGCATCATGGGGGTCTCAGTTTTAAACATCTTTCCAGAAGTCATCCCTGATCATCAAACCAAAGTTACCTGAACCTCTACCCACTTTCAAGATCATTGATTTTTGTTGATGTTTTGTTCTGTTGAGTTGGAACTGACTCATAAGCTAACACTCCAGCAGGTTTTCAGAGGCTGTAAACCGCACCTGAGGAGATCACCCATCTTTCTCCCATTCTCCCATAGAGCAGCTAGTGAATTCAATCCATGTGCCTTCAAGTTAGCCAAAGTTGGTCACTAGAGTTCTCTTTTTTTTAAAAAAAAATATTCTTAAAAATTTTATACTGCTGTGCTTACCAAGTTTGTATACATTGTTTTTCAAACCAGATCTTTCCCATTTCTTTAACCCGTCCCTTACACACCATATTGTGCCACCATATGATTTCACCCCGTCCATCCTCACCCTTCTGCTCCCACTCCCCTGCCCTTGGTTCCTCATACCCATTTTACTACTTATCTTTTTATTCTACAATAATGGTCTTATACAGTATTTGTCCTTATGGGACTGAGTTAGTTCACTTAGCATAATTCAATCCCATTCCTCCTAGAGAGCTCTCTAAATCTCATTGTCTTCTCCTATTACATTCTTAGACCTTGAAGAAGTTCTATATATTTACTTCTTCTGTCTGTTGTGGTTGATTTTATCATTAGGTGCCATCGAGTCAAGCAGTTTCCTTGAAAATTGTGATTTCATGAGACCTAGAACTTTGTTCTGATCCGTAGCTGAACCTGGGCCCTGTAAACAGCGACAGAACTCTAGAACATAGTCCTTAAATATTTGTTGAATAAATTCATACATGACCTCCCCAAGTTCAAGTACCCTTGACATTCCGAAGTCCCTGACACTGCAATGGATAGGTACACAATTACTACTTTTCCATCTGCTTCCTGGAAGCTGCCAAGCCTCAGAAGAGCTTTCTTGGTAGACCTGCTCAGTCCTTGAGGAGATGACTTCTTATAGCATGCCTCCTTGCCCTGTGACTGAAACTGTCACTAAGTAGTTACAAAGGGGCTGAAATGGGGAGATTGGGTATGGACTCCTGGTCCAGTCAGAAAGCTGAAACTGTATTTAGGAAGGAGCTCTGTGGAGGTTCAGATCCTTAAAGGAGTTAAACCATTGTTTACCCTGGAAGCCATCCCAGCCCTTAACAGTAGTATAGCTGCCACTTGGGTAATTGACCTGAGCAGGTGGTCTTTGAGTTCTGACCTTTATTTTTTAATTTCTTTATGCTCCCCAATATGAGGTCCCCATTTCAAAGCAGAAGTCAGAATTGCAGTAGCATTTGGTGGGTTTGGGGCTGGGGACAGTCATGACAATGCAGTAACGACAAAGCGGATCAATCCATTTGGCTGCTGTTGCAGCCCCTGCCTCTTAAGTCAGCTGGTTGCACGAGGTCTGCAGAACCCCTCGGAGACCTTGTCCTTCAGATGGCTGGCTGGCAACTCAGCCTTGGCCAAGAAGCGCACACTCAGTGCTGGTTCTGCTGCTTCCACATTTAGCCTGCATTGCATTACCTCATTGCCAGCCAATCGGCACCTCTCAGGGCTCAACACACGTTCTCCCTTTCACCACAGACATTGCCTCATGCCACTCTCTGTTCCAAGAGCAGGCTGCACTGGGTGTCATGGACTGGCATGTCCTGGGGGCAATGGAGAGAAGAAGCACTAGTCAGAGGCACCAGCATCCTTTTCTCTTATACCATGACTCGCAGGAATCAAATATTCTGCAGGACAGAATACCTTTTTAAGTAAAGATTGCAGTGAAAAGAGGATTGAGAAAATGTAAGTCATCATTTGAGCAACCTTAGAAAAATCAAAGTCCTAAGTCACTCTCCCAGCCACTAGAGTTTGCAAACCTCTTTAAGCCAGGCCAGCGCTGCAATTGAGTGAAACATTCTTTCTGCACTTTCTACCTCAAAACCATAGCTCATTCTGACTGCATCTCCACCAATGAGATGGAAGAGCAGAGATGGGCTGGCAAGGAAGTCAGTTGATCCTTTATACTCAAAACATACTGAAGTTGTTTAGATGTGATCTGAGATCTACGATATCAGCAATCGTTTGGATGATTAACTGTGTGATCTCAAGGCTGCCCAGCCCGCACCTGGGGTGGCTGATCTGCAGTGGAGGTGAGCCAGAAAGTGAGGTGCTTACAGATTCCCAGAGAGCTGCCCCACCCCTGCACCTCAGGCAGCCCCCTAATTGCCCTGGGAGACATGTTACAAGCCCCCCCCCCCTCCGTTCTAGTGGGAGACTTTCAGAGAAAGGTGTTTTATCTTCATGTGGTCTCACTTCAAAGAGTTTTTCCTCTCGGTAGAGCCAGAGGTGTTAATATATCTTTAAATAGTGCGAGGAGGATTGGTTAGAGGATAGGGCGGGAAACCATTATAAATCTTCACAGGATGTTCAATATTTTACACAAACACAGCTATCCAGCAGCAATAATGGCTCCACGGATGTGCCACGTGCATGTATTGTTAATAGCTTTCCATGCACCAAGGAGGAACACGTGGTCAGAGCACAGTGAAGAAATGCAAGGTGGTGATTCCAGGCACAGAGTGCACAAATAGGTGGACACGCTGCTTCCTGTCAACGTCAGACCTTGCCTCCTAGCACAGTGTTTCTTTTTATCTATGCATGCCAAGGGACCACGCCCACTCCATGAGCCCTCCCTGGAGAAGGAATTCCATGTTTGGCTACCATCCCTTCTACTTATCTAGTGACAGCACTTAACAACAATAAGGACAACAGAGAGAGCTACATTGGCCTGGTGGATAGAAAGTGATGCTACCAAGCCCAAGGTGGGTGATTTTAATCTGTGGCCCTCAGGCCTGGTTTTAATTGTTTTTTTGGCAAACATACTTCTACATGGCATAGCACTGGTCTGTGCATTGCTGTACAGAGGCAACTCGTGGTTGCTGTGATGCTAAACACTGTGACACCGATGTGCCAAATGTGATAATGGTTACCCATGGTGGACAGTGTTTGGTGGAGCTTCCGGATTAAAACAAGCTCAGAAGCAGGAGTGCCATCCACTTCTGAAATGCCTTGCCTCCGGAAACTCTCTGAACCGTGCTCCACTCAGGTCTTTCATTCATAGGGTCGCTGTGAGTCGTCTACGATTTGATGACATTTAACAGCAACAACAGCTCTCACACTCTACATCAAGAAGGTGACATCGTAAACACTAAACCCAAACTCACTGCCAGGGGCGTGAGTCCAACATACAGTCACCTTGTGAGGGTGGAGCTGATAGCATGTTCCTGAGGCTTCCATCATTAGGGTCTCCTCTTTCGTCCAGAGTATGACTGGTCGGCTTAGATTACCAACTTGTAGGTCAACAGCCAAAGACTCAGACCACTGTCCCACCCAGGCTCCTTATCACAGATAAAGCCAGCAGGCAAAGTTAAGTTCTAGTAAAAAATTAAGGCTGTTAAAAAAAAAAAAAAAGTAAGGCTATTACACACAGAGCTGGCCACCTAATCATCAAGGTAATCTGCTATTTGAAAAGTGCCAATGATTCTGTTGAATCACCATCTCTATTTCCCTATTATTATTACTATTACTATTGCTGCTACTACTATTATTATTATTTATTATTTGTGTTTGTGTACTGTCTAATTGGATCTGACTGATATAGGAAGAGATTGTCTCTCCTCCAGCAGAGCATCTGGTGAATTCAAACTGCACGTCTCTGGGATTGCAGTGCAGTTTCTTACCACTAGGTCACCAAAATTCCCTTCCCCTTTCTTTTAAAAGACACAGCTCAGTAAGAATGTGGTCTTAAGCACAGAGGAGATTGGAGAAGATTAGAGGGACTTCAACTAGCGTAAATACTAGACAATTGAGGTGGACACACATTGACTTCTTTCTCTCATTTTTGCGCCCTCAGTGGATACATCTGGGTACAATGAAGTTTTGTTTTCCTTCAAACACTATGCCACTTGGAAAGGATTTTTTTTTTAAAGGAGAAAATAGAGCAGAGAATAAGCCTTGGTGGGCAGAAGGCACCTGTATCAGAAGATAGGTAGAATATCCCCTCAACTCATTCACGGAGGCCAAGAATAACCCTGTGAGGGGTGAGGGTCTTTGGAATTGGGCCAAAGTCTCTAGAGCCAACAGGGCAAGATGAGCTGGGCCTTTTAAAAGGGATTAAAACTTAAGCACTTATCATCATCTAGAAAAGCAACAAAACATGTCCAGTTAGAAAAAAAGCTCCAGTCCTACTTTGCAAAGCTGATTTATTCTCAGCTTTTTAAATTTCATTTACTACCTAAAGGGTAGTGCACACATTTTCAAGACCTGGCTATAAAAAGAAACCTCTTACATAACTGCGATTGGCCTGGCAGCTATTGTTGTGAGGAATACACTGGACATCTTGTCTCAGAGCATTTTGGGGAAGCAGGAGGCCCAAGCATGATTTTAAATGGTGGTCTAGTAAGCCAGCTTCCTAGACTCTGGTAGGAGAATTCTAAGGGTCAGAAAGCATGACTGCAAACATGTGATGGGAGAATAGGAGAAAGCTAATTCCGAAAGCTTGCAAGAATAGAAATAGGGTAGGGGGATGCCAAATCACCATCTTTGCTGAGTCACCTTCTCTGTCTGCTTCCCTTTTCTATCAGAGGACACCGCTCAGTAAGAATGTGGTATCCATTCTTAAAGGCACTGGACACAGATAGGTGGGATGGCATGACACATCAGTTGTGAATCAACCTAGCAAACTCCCATCTTTTCTGACCACCAGACACAACTTTCTGGGAGAGCAGGCAGTCCATCTTAAGAATGAATAAGACAGGGGTCTAGAATCCCTTCAGACTATAGAGAAACATGGCCTTTTAGACCTGAGAAGGACCTAATCCACTTCTCTCTTGCCACTACTGAAGAAACCATGGGCCTTAAAGAGTGAGTGACTTGTTGAAATCCACGGTATGTCTACAGTTCAAGTTCACAACTTCTTTCCATGCCCACTGTTCATTTGCTACTTAAAGTAATAGTCCACGGGCCAGAGCAGAGGTAGTATTCAGGATTTGATTAGAAGCATTCTTGAGTCCTTTCCCAGACCCCGTTGCTGTCAAGGGGAAGCTGCAAGTGTCAGAATAGATGCTCCATGGGGTTCTCATTAGCTGCTTTTTCAGAAGTAGATCATTTTGGCTTTTCTTCCAAGGTTCCTTTGGGTAGACTCCATCCTCCAACCTCTTTGGTTATCAGCCAAGCCAGTTAACCTTTTACTCCTCCCAGAGACTTCCCCCCAGACCTCCTGAATCAGGGTTTACATTTTAACAAGATCTCCAGGTGATTCATATCCATATTACCATTTGAGAAGCAGCATCCCGCCCTGGTGCACAGACAGGTGCAAGCTTCTCTGCAGGGAATCTCTGCTCACCATGGCAACTGACCACTCCACTCCCCCAGTCCTTCTGCTCTGAGTTGGCCTCCTCCAGTGCTGTGGATTTTATGGGGACACAGCTCATGGTCTCCAGAAACAGGCCTCTTCCTACTGCAAAACACATCTCCCAAGTAGCAGCAGCATCATGAAGTCATGAGCTAATTAAAGCCACAGCTTGGTACCGATCACCGTCTCCTGACCTTTGTCTCTGGGATAAAAAGCCTTTACTTTTCTGATGCTAGTCACTAGCTGCCATTGTGTTCTACTCGCTGTTTTTAATTGAAATTGACTATCCTTAGAGAAAATAGGAGGTGCATCTCCTAAAAACCTATGTAAGCGTGCCTTTCTGTTCTTGAACCTAGTCTTCTCTGCCCATGAAGGAAATATTTAACTTCTATCTGGAAATAGTCTAGCTTTTGGTCCCCAGCCTCCTTTCCTTCATAAAGGGAATATTTCTATGTCCAAAATGCTTTAAGGAGGTACTTCCTGAAACATCCAGTCATTATATAAGAGATTGGTCTGGTCCCAATTCCCTCAACTAATTTGCTAGGACCTTGGAACAAGAAAGGGTGGCATCTAATTCCGGCATTTTATAGGCAAGGTGAGTGGGAACCAAGGACTCTTTGTGGGCCTGGACTAAAATGAGAGCTATACTTTCATAGGTTCCCCCCTAGAGAGCCTACAACACGGTAAATGCACAACTGCAGGAACCCTTCAAGGGAATTCGTCAGAGCCACATGACAAGAAGCACCATATAACAGCACACAGGACTCCTAACCGTGGCAAAGGATCCTCACAGTGTCAGTTGTCAGCCACCACTTGATTCCTAATTCCTTGACTTCTAACCTGATAATGAGTTCCCTCCCTCCTTCCCTCCCTCGAATGAAGAATTGAAGCCCACACAATTCCTTCCATTGCCTCTGCTGCTTTCAGAACAACCCCTTCTGAGTCCAGGCAAGGCTTGGAGGCACACCCAGTTCCTTAGCTCAGGTGCAAGCAGATGCCTGTCCCAAATGTGGCCTGGCCCAAAAAGCTGACCAGTATTAATAAGCAAGACCTGGCCCTTTCCACCAAACACAATCCAGCAGCAAACGGAAGCACTCGCATAATTAAGTTAAATACAGGCCAACAGGGAACAAGAGCCAAAAAGAATCTCAGGCAACAGTAGCTATGGGTAGTCAAAGGAGGCAGGACTAGTGAAGACGAACTCCGTGGTGGATTCATGGAGAAAGCCATGGCTGCAGACTCCGAGCAGGAACAGAATCAGTGCAGGCGGAAAGGAGAGGAAATAAACTGGGTTAGCCCGTTCAAAATGTTCCTGCGGGGAGAGAAGTCCGTGCAAGTCTTTCAAAAGTAAAAGATGTCTCTTCTCCTGAGATAATGAGGGCACTCAAATCAACCAGAGAGGGCACATCACAGGGATGGTGGGCTTCTTGGGGGCCCCTAGATTTGGTCATAGCTGAGGTCCAAAAGGAGCATGGTATCACAGTTATTTAACACATTGCGGCACACTTTTTAAATTGATGACCGTGCTTAGAAACACATTTGCTGTCATTTGCGGTAATGTGTTAAGCATTGGGTTGCAAACCAGAAAGCCAGCCATCTAAGCCCACCAGCTACTCCATCCACAAGAGAAAGGTGACGCAGGATTCCTCCATAAAGATCTGCAGACTTGGAAACCCCACAGGGCAGTTCCACTTTGTCCAATACGGCTGCTATGCATTCGTTTGGACTCAAGAATAGTGGGTTTGAGTTCAAGGTCCAGAATAGCTTCAAGCAGGAGAAACTCAATCCATTTACGGAACCTCCAAGTGCCAAGTATGTTGTTTAAATATTTGGCATCCGCTACATCACAGAATGTCCCAGACTCCCAAGCTGCCTTGTCTTCCTCGCCAGCATTTCCTATGGTTGGTAAACAACAGCTTTCATTCTCTCTCTGTGTGTATATGTGTGTGTGTGTGTTGAAGGGAGCTCTGGCGACGTAGTCCATGTGGAGTTGTGCCATTAACCCACAGGTTGCACCTCTCTGGCACGTAAATCTACCAGCTCCTCTATGAGAGAGCGAAGGGCAATCTTGTGCCATGCCATTTACGGCTTCCGGAAACCCCTTGGAGAGGCAGCTGTGAACGGGTTCCAATTCTACGGCAGTTAAGCGTTGAGCATGTTGACCGAGAGCACAGGTGTGCGTGCACTTTGCTGACTGGCTACTTGTGCTGTTGATTTGCATTCCTGCACATAGTGGCATTATCACACCCACAAGCAGCACTGCAGCTCACTGTCCAGAGAAGTTATGCAGTTTATCTAGCAAAACACAGGCAGTTTGTGGCCAAGCCAGTCAGGGCCAGAACCCAGGATGTTTTCCCTCCCAATTCTGTGTACTCTTCTTCAGACTGTCTTATAAACCATGTGGAATTGGGGTAATAATGACAGTGGGCATGAGAAAAGGGATGCCTCGTGTTTAGTTATTACATTCTCCTCCAAAGAGCATTATTTACGTGTGACTGAAAGGTTTTAGCTACAAATTGAGGGGTTTTTTTTAAAGGAAAAAATGCGCATATCAACAAGAAAGAAAGAAAGATATTAAATATAGCAAAGTACAATTGGATGCTGGAAAAATATTCAGGAAACAGTCTTGAGTGATGATGATGGCACAACAATTTTTTACTTATTCAAAACCTTGAATATTGAGAACATAATTAGGAATAAACAGTAAGGCATCAGAAAAGGGAAATTCTATGCTGCAAAATTCAGGCATAAAAGCTTACACTTAAAAAAAATATTTCCTCTATGCCTCATTTGGTTGTTTACTCTTATCTTTATTTATTTACTCTTACTTTGCACAGATTATTAAGCACTTTCGTTATTCCAGTTCCTGTTCAAAAATCAAGTTAAAAATAAAAGAAAAATTAGAAAATGATGCAGCTCATATTTATGATAACCACAGATGACAAGCAGACAATGAAGGAAGCAGTACATGTTTAAATGGATTCTCAACATTTTAAAAGCCAAAAAGCTGGCAAAAGAATACAAAAGTGTAGAAATATGAGCCCCTAGTCCTAACACAGAACTGACGTTGCTCATGAGTATACTTTAAATCTTTAAGAAAAAGTTAGATTCTAGCGAGTGCCCTATGGTTTGTTTTTTTAAAGAACATTGGAGAGTATGAATTAATTTTGGGAAGATAACTGGCAGATTGATTGCTTCATACTAGAAATTTTTTGAGATCTACTGAAGGATAAAATCTGGGAAACTCTCTTAGCAGGAATGTTTCGTTTTCCCCAAATGGGGATCTGCTCAGAGAGCTTTAG